CCCCCCCCCCCCCCCCCCCCCCCTTCTACACCGCCGCCAGGCATCCTCTACGCCGACGTCGGGGTAGACCTGAGCAACATCCCTCTCGAGGACATGCCCATCCTGGGGATATTCTCCCGCGTCATGATGGAGACCGGCACCTCGGAGATGGACCGCGTGCAGCTTTCCCGCCGCATCGGCAGCCAGACGGGAGGCGTTTACGCGACCTTCCTGGCCGACCAACCCTCGGCCGGCGGCGCGGTGGCGGACCCCGGGGCACTGAAGCAGTACCTGTTCCTCCGCGGAAAGGTATGCGGGGGAGGGGGGGGGATACTCATGTACACGCATGCCGTTGAAGTCGTTCAGACCATTGGCCTCTCATCCCACAATGCGAGAACGGAACGAGAAAGGCAGGGGGAGTTATTTTGTGTTCTTTTCGTCGACCGCGCTAACCGACTGACCAGTGTAGCGGCCGAAGAATAGAAAAATCTTCTAGAAGGCCATGTTCTGGGAAACCCGTGAGAGATGGTTCACGGGGGAAGCTAGGGTATTCTCGGGATTTGAGGCAGATACGGCAGCAGATGAACTTGTGTTGTAGCGTCTGCGCTTGTCTGATTTCTCCTGGGCGGCTTCACGGATGCCGTATCGTCTCGTTGCTATTGGTTTGCTTGTCTGGATAAACCCAAGTATTGCTGTCATCGGGATCAACACGAGGTGTAGTCTAGGTGGAATAGTGGGTGGGAGAAATGCCGGTACCACGAGTATGAAAGGTGTTGTAGCGTAGCATCTACCCTGCTCACGAGGGGCGTGTTGTTTGTTAGTGGTGGACCTGTGGACTGCTGAACTGTACGCTCTTCTTTGTCCAACCACGCCCGACCCAACCCACCAACCAATCAATCCGACCCATTCGAATTCGAACACGGAATCAGGCCGTCTCGGACAAGGTATCCGACATGCTCTCCATCATGTTCGACGTCATGACGGACGCTCACCTTGACAGCCAGCAGAGGGTCGTCGAGATGCTCAAGGAGTCGAAGGTACCTGTGCATCATGATGCATCATGATGAGATGGCGTTTCGCAGGGCGTGTAGGGCAGGTGCAGATGCCCCAAGTTGACGCGTGTTCAAGGCCGTTTTGGCGATAACAGCCCCACAGAGGAGCGGGAGGGATGATCCTCTGGTTCTTCGAAGTAGGAGCTTCCGATACCGATCCACGCAAGACTCGTGTGGTACATGACTATATACGATTTTGCTTGCAGTATTTCTTTTTGGCGGCTTATTTTGAAGTATTTTCAAGGTTCCTTCCATTTCTGGTTGTGTGTAAGTGTAAGTGCGTACAATATAGGCGTGTTGCGTTGACACTCCCTTTTGCCCCTGTGTGTGTGTCTCTACAGCAAAGTGCTCGCACGTGGGCTCCAGCTCCAGTGTTTTGTGTTGTTGTGTTGCTTTCTATATGTATTTTTTTTGTGTCATGTCGCCCTGTATCCCCATATGTGATATTTGCTTGTAATGATCGCCTTTTTCTCCCCTGCGTGTTGCTGCCGACTACTTTGTGCGTCACCACGGTTCTCCTGTATGCCTTCATGCTAATGTGTGACTGCTGTGTGACTTTTTGTATACCTGCTGTGTGACTGTGACTGCCTTCTCTCTCTCTCTCTCTCTCTGTCGTGTTTTTTGGCATTTTTCGTTTTTATTCCGAGGGCAGGCCCGTCTTGCGTCGTCGATCCAGGGATCTGGACACTCGTTCGCGAACACACGCCTCGAGGCCAGGTGATCATGATGGCGTCACGGATTCAATAGCAATACTTGTCTTCGACGTACGGTTTTCTGAGGTGCGTTTGATGACCTAGCCTCAGCAAAGAGCCAACCACGCCGAGCAAGAAAGCAAAGTCCAAGGTCAATCAATCGTGTCCTCCCTTGCCCCATCG